GGTGGACCTTGAGTGATACCTGCAGTAGAAAAGGGACTCGGACATGATTCTGGACCAGTCATTCAACATTGTATTATTATTTCTTGTGTGAATAAAAGAAGGGGGAGATAAGGAGGAGGAGGTTGTTGGGCGAAGAAGAAGAGCCTTGTCATTGTCTTTGTTGGTGTACATCTTCTTCTTCTTCTTTCTTACTTCTTTTTCTTCTTCTAATCCTCTCTCTCCTCTCAAGTTCATTAATTTCTTTTTGCAATTGGATGGCATTGTACATTCCAGTGGATGTGTATCTCGAAATTGGCCAGGGTCATAACATTGGTATCGGAGCGGATTCTACTTGCTGGTGAGAGTTGACTTGCTGCCCTAACCCTAACCTAAGTGGTTGAGGGCAACACTTAGGGTTAGGGTTGGCTGGTTGAGGGAAGTGGGGCAGCGTGGCTAAGGGAGGCTGCCCCCACCTGGTTAGGTCATGTGGGGTCAACATAGAACCTAACCAGGTTGCTTGAGAGTGAGATTAGGGTGGCGAGACATTTCGAGGAGACTTCATGCGGCGATTTGAGAGAGGCGACAGTGAGAGGCACTCGCACCTGGAATTTGATTCAAGGGAAACACTTGGCAACTTAAGGGCTGCCCTCAAGTAGGCGAGTTTGACGGCCAGCGGCCATTCTGCATCAACGGACTGCAAGTTGCTACTTTGATCTTCAACATCGACGGGGGATCCGTCGTTGCACTTGGGTGTTGGAGTCAGACCCTCCTAAGAGATAGGACACTAGTGTAGGGGTAACGTTAGAGGGGTCAGGAGGACCACATGAGAAGGGGGGTGAGTTCTCTTCATCTCGAAGCTCAAGGCCACTCAGGTAAGTGTCGTGCACCTACGGGATGCCCATGTATGTGTGTATGGTATTGATTGACCTGCTGGGGTACTCTGTTTTTTTTTTCCTACTCCTCTGTGGTCTTGATTGTGTGACTGAATGCATGCGATCTACCTACTCACCTGATGGATGGAAAATGAAGTATCTTGACATACATGCCGAGTCTTTCTACAGTGCTTTGTCTTTTCATCACTGGACGGTTGTAGTCTGTAGGTTTTGCCAGAAGTTGAAATTTTGTTTTTCAGTGCAGTAGAGACTGAACTAAGTTCAGGTGGAACTCCTCTTGGTTGGGACCTGGTTGAGACCTACGTGGGACCCTTGGGACCAAGCCGGACCCTTGGGACCCAGCGGGACCGAGCTCAAACAAGGAGAGCCTCTGGACACAAATCGGTTAGGCATTGACCTCTTGTCTTCTTGGTTGGAATACGAGTTCATTCTTCTTGGATTAGGACACCCACTGCCGAGGGGATCTTGGCTGAGACGTTTCGCATGTATTCTGATCGCACTGTCCGTGGCTTGACTCGCACCCTGTACACCACTCAATTCTCCATTGTTGCATTTAGTTACTCGTTGTCTGATTTGCTGTACGGTCACGGAGCTGGTCAGACTGGACTCGAGAGGACCTCGTATGCAGTCTAATCAGACTGGGTCGCTGGATCAGACCTCTCATTGAGATTGTTTGTTTCTTTTGCTGCTCTCTACTTCCAAATGAAATGTCGCTCCGGCTAGGAGTTCTACCGTCTCTTCTCTGAGCTTTTCAGTCTGTTTTTCTGAGTTCATTTCCGATGCCTGTGGAGACTCGCAACTTGAAAGAGGAGAGAGAGAGGAGGGAGAGAGAACAGGGAGAGAGGGAAAGTGATCGTCTGAGGTGGGCTAGGACTGGGAAAAGGATTGTTCGTCCAAGCGGGAGGGGGAGTGAACCTCTTGAGAGTCTAATTGATTCTTTTGCTGATTGGCGACTCTCTGACCCACCTGTCCATACTGACAATCCAATAATGGCTCAGCTAACTTCAGTTCAGTGGCGGGCCTTGTTAGATGCAGCCAGTGATGCTGAAAAACCTTATCTGCAAGCACTTTTAGATAGTGCAATCAAAAGGGAACAGGAGACAGAGAAGGAGAGAAAGGAGACCTTGCTGAAAAGGCAAGTGGCCCTCCTAGAGACTGTTCCTTCACTGACTGAAGAGCAGTGTGGGGAACAGTTGCAGTCTATACTTACAACCTTTTTTCAAGTCAGGAATCTTGAGGACCATACCACTCAGATCGCTGAAGTCTTTGCAAAGTTGCAGACACTTCAAGATGATTTGACTGGTAGGACCCGCAAGTACCATGAATTGACAAAGGAGGTGGCTGACCTGCGACAAGCCTAAGTGGCCAACCCTCTTCCTCTACCCCCTGGATCTGAAGCTGCAATCGAAACTACTTCTGCCCCTCTTACTGTATCTTCTTCCTCGAATGTGTTGGCAACCCCCTCAGGACCTGCAACAGGTGCAGATTCCGATGTTGCTGTAACAAGCAATGAAGCCGAAACTTTTGCAACTACTGCAGCCCCAAGGTTGGAATCAGTAGGTGCTGGTCCCAGCTACGCTGGTCCCTACGTAGACCGAAAGGCGGTACAAATGTCGTCTAAGTACGACAGCAAGGAAGACATCGAGTCCTGGATCGGCTCCACGAGGGCCTACTTTGAGATTCTGGGAACTCAACCTGAGAACCAGGCGGTGATCATGGGAATGAATGTCGAACAGGTCGTACGGGGCTTCCTAGAAGTCCAAGCGACGCGGGCTGGGTTCCAAAAGACTGCACTAGCCAAATGGCTTAGGACCACCCCGGTTGCCTCCCTCGAGGATCTCCTTATCTCACAGTATCAGGATCCACATGCTGCGGCTAGAGCAAGAATCCAACTTGACAAAGTCAAGCGCAGCAAGTGGACAGACTCCATGAAAAGCCTGCAAACCTATCTTAGCAAGATGTTCGCTACTCCTGGTTTGGAATTGTCTGCTCAATCTTGCTTAGATGTGGTTAAGGGTGCGGTTCCAACTAACTTCACCAATCGCCTGGGCAGGGACTACATTGCATACACTGACTGGCTCACCTTAATGAAGGACATAGTCAGTTTGGAGGCTGTAGACCTCGTTAGCACGGCAGGCAGCAAAAAGCCCATGGGCGGCAGACGGTTCCAGGGCAGCAGCCGTTTTGCTGTGCATGACCGGCTGGAGGCCGAAGAAGAAGCCGATGAGGGTGACCCCACTCTTGGTGACGACCAAGAACAGGACTCCGATACAGCTTGTTCTTCAGCCCATGAGTCCGATGCAAATAAAGAAGAAGAAAATTTTTCTGCCTTTAAAAAGACTGCCAGTACTAAGGGACCGAATCGGAGTACCGAGAAAAGTTATGTCCAACTTCCCAAAGGAGTCAAGATCCCGCCTAAACCGGAGGATGCAACTACCAAACCTTGGGTTGACCTCCGGATCACTGAGAATGACTGGCGGGGCAGACTCAAGAAAGGGGTTTGCCTGCATTGCCAAAAACCAAATCATAAGGTTCAAGACTAATATAGGCTGCAGGGAAACCAGAATCGGGCGTAGAGTCAGAGTCAGCAAACTCTACAGCAGGGGGGTCCGGTTCTGTTGAAAATCAGCAGCCCTCCCTTGAAGCCCAACCATCTGCTGAAGACAAGGCTGAGGTAAGTAATGTCTTGTATGTCGAGCCTTGGGAGGAGTCTGAGATGGTTGACTTCCACTACCACTTGGAGCATTGGGCTGAGATGAAACAGCAGTGTGCCCAAGGGACAGTGAAGTTGATCTTCTTTAAACTTCTCATAAACCACCGCTATCTTCGTGTGTTGGTTGACTGTGGTGCTACAGCTAACTTCATGTCACCACATGGGATACGCAAGGTGGGCTTGGGGATGAAGCAAGTGGCCCTGCAGAACCCTTGTCGGACCCAAGTTGGGAACAAGGAAGTTGTTTCTTCAACACATGCATTCAAAGGTGTGCGCACTACCTTTGACAAAGGCAAGACCGTCACCCACGCATTGAACTTCGTCGTCCTTGACAAGTGCCCCTTCGACGATGTCCTTGGCTTGGGCTGGTTGCAGTCCCAATGCGAATGGACCAAGTGGAATGAGTCACTCTTCATGGTCAAAGATGCTCAGGGGAACGAACTTCCTGTCCTCTTGGATGAGAAGCACGAATCCCAGTGACTTTTCTAAATGCATTGAAGTTCTGCAAGAAGTGGTGCAAACACAAAGAGAACGAATAGTTGTATGTTGCCTTTGTTCGTCCTGCTCATGTGCCTTCTACTTTTGCGGCTAATACCACTACTACTTTGATTGATGATCCTACTTCTGGTACTTCTACTACTAGCACCTCTACCTCTCTACCCTCTAATAGTCCAAATGATCCTACTTCAGATTCGGTCGTCTCTATACACGACTTGCGACCGGATCTTGGTGATCCCTTTGCTGATTCCCCACCCCCACCTGTCCCATCAGACATCCAAACCCTCCTCGATCGGTTTCCGGAAGTCCTGGCCGAGCCACGTGGAGTCCCCACGTGATCGGTTTCCGGAAGTCCTGGTCGAAGGGCTGCGTGTACCGTATGGGACCCGGTGAGTTGGAGGAACTCCGGCGACAAATCGATGAGATGATTGACAAAGGGTGGATCAAACCTAGTGAATCTGAATTTGGTGCTCCTGTGTTGTTTGTCCCAAAGAAAGGAGGCAAACTCCGCATGTGTATTGACTATCGCGGTCTAAACCGCATTACAAGAAAGAACGCCTATCCATTACCCCGCATAGACGATTTGCTTGATGTCGCAGGTGGGTGCAAGGTCTTCTCCAAGATCGATCTCAAGTCTGGCTACCACCAGATTGAAGTCGATCCTGCGGACCAGCACAAGACTGCGTTCAAAACATGCGACGGGCTTTATGAGTTCACCGTAATGCCCTTCGGTCTCAAGAACGCAACAGCCACTTTCCAAAGCCTCATGGACAAGGTCCTCCGCGAACAGATTGGCCGGTTTGTGGTAGTGTACCTGGATGATATTCTGATCTTCAGCAAGTCCATGGAGGAACACCTCAAGCATCTTGAGGAGGTGCTCGCTATCCTCAAGAAGACGCAGCTCTATCTCAACTTGGAGAAATCTGAGTTTGGGAAGGATAGCGTCATCTATCTTGGGCACCAGTTGTCTGCTGCAGGCCTAGAGCCTGAGGCAACCAAGATTGAGGTCATACGCGATTGGCATCAGCCTGCGAACATTCGCGAATTGCGTTCTTTCCTTGGTCTCACGTCGTACTATCGAAAGTTTGTACCCCGCTTCTCCATCATTGATCGTCCATTGTCGCGACTAACCAGTAAAAATGTGCCTTATTCCTGGGATGCCGCGTGTACGGAAGCTTTTCGGGCTCTCAAGGAAGCCTTCGTAAGTTACCCAGTACTCCGCATTGCAGATCTCAAACTGACATTCGTAGTTACTACGGATGCAAGTCAGTATGGAATCGGTGCAGTGCTGCAACAAGATGACGGTGATGGCCTGCGACCACTCGAGTACTACAACAAACGGATGCCCAACGTAAAGGTAGCCACTTCCACCTACATGCGTGAGCTCTATGCTTTGCGCATGGCGTTGGATCACTGGAGACATTATCTTTTGGGACGCCACTTCAAAGTCTTCTCAGATCATGAGACCTTGAAGTGGATCAAACAACAAACTACCCTGTCCCCTACCTTGTTTTGCTGGTTTCATGAGATTGACATCTTCGATTTTGAATTAAGACACAAAAAGGGTTGTTATAATCGAGTCGCTGACGCATTGTCTCGCCACCCTGAGTACATGACTTGCCTTGTGAAATCCTACGACCTCCAGAAGAAACTGAAGGAGGAGCTCGTAGAGCAGACAACCAAGGATCCGGAACTTAGTTCCGTCCTTGAGCGGTTGCGGGCTGATCCTAGTAGTCAGCCTGATTTCCACGAATATGGAGGACTGATTTTTCGTCGCTACGGAAACCATGACCGTTTGTGTGTACCCAACCATGAGCCTCTCCGCACACACTTTCTGGATTTGGCTCATTGCCGGAGCGGGCACTTCGGCATGGCAAAAACGTACACTAATTTGCTAGACGGTTTGATTGGCTTGGCATGAAGGGAACTGCTGAGAAGTTTGTGGCTAAATGTCAAGTCTGTCAACGGATCAAACCATGCAGATAAAAGCCCATGGGGCTACACACACCCCTCCCCATTCCTGATGGTCCTGGGGAGTCTCCATCGATTTCACTGACATGGATAAGGTAAGCAAAAACGGGTATTCACAAGTCATGGTGATTGTTGACCGATTTTCAAAATTTCTTAATTTGATCCCTTTGCCGCCCCACGCCCCAACAGATCTAGTGATTCGCAAATTCCAACAGAAATACCTGCTGCAATTCGGAACCCCGAAGACTCTTGTGAGCGATCGGGATCCGCGTTTCATTAGCACTGAATGGAAGGATTTCACATCTCACCTAGGAATCAAACTGAGCAAGACATCTGGCCGACACCCTGAAGCCAACGGTTTGGTTGAGGAGATCAACCAGACTGTGTTCCAACTACTTCGAACTTTGATAATCCCGGATCAGGAAACATGGGATGAAGAGCTGTATTCCGTTAAGGGGTTATACAACAACTCCGTCCATTCCGCCACCGGCATGACACCCAACAGGCTGCATTACGGTTGGCAGATCCGGAATCCGCTCTCTTACCTATTCCCTGAGCAGCCAGCTGGTTTAACACCTGGCAGGCCTGGCTTCAGGGCCAAGTATGATCGCTTGCTCAAAGTTGCCATTGGAGCTATGACCAAGCGACAACACGCCATGATCCATCACGCGAACAAGAAGCGCAGACTGTCAGATATTGAGGTAGGAAACTATGTCCGGGTCAAGATGTCTGAATTCTCAGAAGAAGAGGGAGTCTCACGCAAACTCCTCCCTCTCTATTATGGGCCCTGGGAAGTTTTGGATGTGATTGGTGAAGATGACTTTGGCCCTTCGTACGTTGTAGACGTGCCAGCTCACTTGCGCACATATCCCGTGTTCCATGCATCCAAACTGTATCTCCACCGTGATGCCGAGACATTCGATTACCGCGAAGATATGATCCCCCGCGCAATCAAGGGCGGGCATGAGATAGATAAAATCAAACAGCATGTAGGTAAGGGGAGAAACAGACAGTACCAAGTTCATTTTATGTATCACCCGTTAGATGATCTGTACCGGATCTCCAAACAGTAACTGCTATGCAACACACCGCGCGTTGTTAAAGCCTACGAGCGCCAAATCGCTGCTAACACTGCACCCAAGATCTCAGCAAGGCTCACTGCGGCAGAGTATTCCAGGAATCTCTTTGCCTTGCTCGCCTACGATGCATTTGTCGAGGACTCAGAATGAGTTACTCGCTCGAAGGGACCTCGCTCTTGAGGGGGGGGTAGTGTGATAACCCGTCCAAACATGGACTGAAACACACAACTGATTTCTGAGTTTTGCTCATAGACTGAATGCCCTACTGAGTTCTCGCCTGCTAAGTCTATGTGTGTGTGCTTGCTGGACTGCATGTCTGCCTGAGTGTTGGTTGGCTTGCGTGTGTGTGACTGTGTCTGTCTGAGTGCTGGTTGGTATGAGTGTGTGTGTGGCCCGTCAGGTCACTTGTTCGTTCGTTGGGCCCTCAGGGCCGGTACTTACCTGTGGCCATGGCTTTGAAGGGTTGCAGCGGGGAAAAAGCACTCACGTAGCGGGTAGGCCGGTACCGCACCCGGCAGGGGGGTAAATATGCAGGTACCTGAGGCCGAGCAGGAGAAGACAAAAAGTGGCATTTTTAGAGGCCGGTAGTGTAGGCTAGGTCTAGCGGGTACCAGTTTGAGTCTAGGGCCTGTAGGGGCAATATCAGAGTCTGCAATGATGCTTCCCTCCAAAAGAGGAGGAGGTACCGGTTGCTTTGGAAGGCCAATGGCCTGGAAGTCACCGCCCAAGAGGCAAAGCAGGCCGCTATATCTTCAGGTCGGGCGGAAGACCCGGCCTCTTTTTCGGTGCGCAAGTTTGGCGACACACTGGTGGAGCGCTGGCTGGAGCAGCGCTAAGCTGGAGCAGCGCTGCTGGGGAGGAAGGAGAAGGACATGAGGGAGGAAGAAGGAGGAAGGAGGAAGGAAGGAGGAAGGAAGGAGGAAGGAAGGAGGGAGGAGCGCCAGGGGTACTTACCTGGCTATGGTGGCAGCCATCTTCATCACCTTGGTGGGCGCTGCAGCAAGGAGGCCCCAGCCGGGGAGAGCCACACCAAGAAGCTTCAAGGCAGGGCTGGGCATGACAGCCTGAGCTGGAGCAGCCATAGCTGCTTTGGGTTGTCCTTTGGACATCGGAGCAAGGCCTAGTAGTCCGCCATAGCCTCGGCCTATGGGTGTGAAGAGTGGGAGAGGCGGCCATGG